AAATTGCAGGTTCAAATTATTCCTTACCAATAAGCAGATTACGAAAGGAGGCAGAATAGCAATCTATGTCAGGGATAATCTGAAATGTGAAATAAATAAGGAAATACAATCTGAACGGAAAACAGAAACAATTTGGATAGAATTAATCGATGGTAGGGAAAAATAATCGCAGGAGTAATATAGACCTCTTAATCTTGATAGAGTTTATGAGCGACTTATTTAGGATGAAATAAGCAGGGCTTCCATACATAGCAAAGTCTGTATAGTAGGCGACTTTAACTTTAACCAAATAGATTGGATTGACCTTGCGGGTAACTCAGAATCAGAGGATTTTCTTGAAACAATTCAGGACTGTTTCATAAGCCAACATATAACCGAACCCACCAGGGGTAATAATATACTCGATTTAGTTGTGTCAGAGAAAACCTCACTATTAATGTCGAGGTAGGGAACGAACTTGCTAACAGCGATCACAAAGAAATTAGATTCCAGTTAGAATTTCAGAGCAGACGCAAGGAAAATTACACTGAAGTCCCAGATTTCAGAAGGGCAAACTTTGATAGTTTGAAGAGGCAGCAGATAGAAGGGCTATCACCCTTGTGGGTGAATTACATGATCTCACATGAGGTGACCTCACACAATGTACCAACAGAGGGCGACCTCTCCTTACCCGGAGACTTGACGGTTGAGAATGACCTGATTACGAGATCTGAGGTTGACGAGTTCCACAACAACTTAAATAATGAGTTAATTAATGCACAAAGGCGGAACATACCATACAGAAAACTCAGATCAAACAACAATGACCCTCTCTCTCTCACACACACACACACAAAGGACCTCCACCTTGATAGGACACTGCCGAGGAAGATCTTTGACTGAATTTTATTATGATTGTGTCGCCGCGGATGAGAGAGGTGGCTGGTGAGGAGAAGGGAGAGTGGGTGAGAGAAGGAAGAGTGGGTGAGAGTGTATTAGAGGGAAAGCTGGTGAAAGTGTCTAAGAAGAGGAGTGAGTGGGTGAGAGAATGATGGAGAAAGAATGAAACCTACTTTATTTACTGACGAACCCGCTTTCTTATTCTGCTTACCTCATTATCATACCTCAGGCAGGTCGTCCACACTGACAGCACAGTTATCGTCACAATAAACAAACACCAAATACCATTTATTTTACGGCTGAGCTCTGTGGGATTGTAGTTGCATTGCTCATGTCGGTATTAATGGCAATGAGGCGACCGATTCGGAGGCGTGGCGTATGGTGGTGGCAGGTCAGTCCCAAAGGAGGCCTCTCCACTTACCAGTTACTCAAGTTTAGTAAGGAATAAATAGAAAATAAGCTAAAAGAGAAGAAAGATAAAAATGGGAGATGGTAAAAATGATAAATTATAATCAGAATGGAGAGGAAAAAATTACCATAAAGATTTTAACGAAGAGAGGGAGACAAAGGAAAAATTAGATATAAAGAATGTTTGGAAGTCTAATTAAAATTAATGAAATTATATAAAAGAACAGAAAATAAGAGGAGGGAAGTGTGGAATATAGAATGAAAGAGAAAACAGTGGAAAGAGAAATAAAAAGGATAGTAAAAAATATATAAAAATACGTAAAATTTAAGATATTAAAATGGGCGAGATAAAGAAGATGAAGAAAAGGGGAAAAAGGGAATGAGAGGAGGGAGAAGCTAAAATAATGACGATAAGAAACGAGATAATCAGAAAATATTACATAGAATGAGGGAGTAAAGGAAGAATAATAATAAGGAAACGCATCTGGTGAAATGGAGGAGGAAGAAAAACGAGGGAGGAGGAGAAAAAAATAAATATAAGAAAAGAACAAAAAGCTACAGCCACGTGTTATCAGACAGCTGTGAGCTATATATATACACTCATATATTAACCCTCTCACCACTTGGCACGCACTTGCCATTTTATTCTAGCTACCGCCAGGCCATTTTATTCTAGCTACCGCCAGGCCATTTTATTCTAGCTACCGCCAGGCCATTTTATTCTAGCTACCGCCAGACGATTTTTTACAGCTTAGGGTAACCTCCCGCTGTGAAAGGGTTAAGGAGGGGGCTAGAAAAGGTGTCCTAAACATAGCCTGACTAAAAACCCAACCTGAATGGGCAACTGCACACAGTAAGGTCATCGTTATGCGGTCGAAAACACAACCCAAATCACAGATCCAAACAAAAACAAACTACACAACCTCTTATGGTCGCTGCATGGAATGTCAGAACCCTACTGGATACTGGCACAAATGAGCGTCCTGAATGAAGAACCGCCCTTGTGGCAAAAGAGGTGGCTAGGCATAACATCGACATAGCAGCCATTAGTGAGTTCCGGCTCCCAGACGAGGGTCAACTCACAGAATGGGGGTGTAGATATACCTTCTTCTGGTAGGGTAAGCCTGTTGCGGAGAGAAACCTCATTTATGGAGTTGGCTTTGCCATCCGCCAACGCATCCTACACAGGCTAACTGTAATACCTATTGGGATCAGCTAGCTCCTTATGACGCTCCGAGACCCACTGAATCACTCACGACATGCCTTCTTCATCCGTGCATACACCCCAACACTGGATGCAGAGGATGACGTCAAGGAGGCCTTTTACGCCGACCTCGACAGAGTGCTAACCTCTATCCCCAGAGAAGATAAGGTTGTGCTCCTTGGTGACTTCAGTGCCAGAGTAGGCAGAGATGCTGGCATTTGGCAGGGAATCATTGGGAGAAATGGACTAGGCAAGTGTAATCCCAACGGCCTACTCCTCCTCAGCAAGTGTGCTGCACACAATCTCACTATCACCAATACCTTATTTAGGCAGTGTTACGAGTGTCCGCCATAAGTTTCTGTTTTGGGTATGAAATACGTTGGTTCGGATGGTGTGTGGTTGGCTCGCGCAGTTTCGCTCATTACTCGCCCACACTGACTGAGTCATCATTTAAGTATTAAATTTGTTTATTACATTGTGTATTTATTGCATTATGTTTAATTGTATTTTGTTGGATTGTATTAAGATTTTATATAGGTTAGATAAGTGGAATTAATGTTAGTAGGGTAATTTATATAAAGCTTACGTTTTGACCAATCAGGATATGATACGTCAGTATTTGGCAGTAGAGAGGTGACGTCTGTGACCGGCTGGTAGTCGGTAGTCAGTCTAGGCACAGCTGTCTTAAGTTAAGTAGTATACTCTCTCTCTCTGGTGTCTTGGGAGTTGCCATTTGACTATTGAGATTTGTTTTGCTTGATATTGATTTTGTGTGATCTTGTTGGACCTTCAGTCCTTACTCAGCCACTTTCAAACATCTTATCGTATTATGATTGTTATTTATTTAACTTTATGTACATATGTGGTAGTGGGAATCAGTTAATAAAGGTTCATATTTTTATTGACTTGTTTAGGTCTTGACCTATTAACTTGACCTTGATGGGAGAACTTGGGATTAAGAATAAATATTAAATACTGATATGTTTGAAAGACTTAGGTGAATTGTGTTTGTGTAATGATCTACCCTAGGGTTGTAACAGCAGGCCGACAAGATCAAGGGTTCGTGGCAACACCCACGATCTAAACACTGGCATCTTATTGACTACATCATTGCCAGAGAAATAGATCGCTCAGATGTACTCATTACCCGTGCCATGCGTGGCTCAGACCACTGTGACACTGATCTTCGGCTCGTCAGAGCTAAGATCTCACTTCACGTTGCCCCTAAACGGCAAAGGCAGGAAGCCTCCAGAAGAGGTTTGATCATTAAGCGTTTGGAGGATCAAGTGGTTGCACATGCTTTCAGAGAGCAGCTCAAACTTGGGTTGATAAACAACCCGACAACAAACAATCCAAATCCCAGTGTCGAAAGAAATATTCTCGACACTGTCATGATAAAAACCTGCAGAGACCCTCGGCCAGATCGAAAGAATACACCAGGACTGGTTTGATGAAAATGACCCGACAATCAATGTACTCGTCGATGATAAACGTGCTGCTTTAACTGACTGGACGAACAACCGTCAGTCTCGGACCATAGCTGATACCTTCCGCAAGAAGAAAGCGGCGGCCCAGCGGGAATTTCGCAATCTGAAGAACGATTGGATAAATAAAACATGTGAAACACAAAACAATTGCAGATAAAGCACCTGATGGGCGAATTTTTCAATTCCACAAAAACATTTCATGGGCTAATCACTCGTGGCTCAGCCACCCTCCGCTCATCTGACGGTAACTCCATAATTAAAGATTATGAAGGCCTCCTTCAGCGCTGGAAAGAGCACCACCACCATTCACTGCTCTACCGAAACACCGATGTGGATGTCCTGACTACCCAGCAGGTCCATCAGCATCCAGAGCAGACCCCCCTCAGCTATCCTCCATCCCTGGATGAGGTAGCTACTGCCATCAAACAAATGAAAAAAAAACAAAGCCTCAGGGCCTGACGGAATCCCAGCCGATGTGTATAAAGCAGGAGGACTTCTGCTTACCAGCCGTTTCCACTCTCTTCTGGAGAATATATGGGAAAAGGAAGAAATCCCCAATACTCTTAAATACGCCTCCAACGTCAATATTTATAAGAACAAGGGAGACCGGTCAGACTGTGGCAACTACCGCGGGATCTCGCTGCTGCCCGTAGCTAGCAAGATTATCGCCTGAGTCCTCCTAAACAGACTTCTCCCTGAGGCGGAAAACTTCCTCCCATAATCCCAATGTGGCTTTAGACCATCACTTGGCACCACTGACATGATCTTTGTTGCCCGCCAGATACAGGAAAACTGCAGACAACAGCGTCATGACCTGTAAATGGCTTTCATCGACCTAACCAAGGCCTTCGACTCGGTCAACAGGGAAGCCCTCTGGTGAACCCTCAGCCGTTTTGGCTGCCCACCAAAATTCATCGACATTGTGAGGCAACTCCACGATGGCATGAACGGCAGTGTCCCGCACAACGGCACCCAGTCTGAGTTCTTCTCCAGCTAAACAGGGATTAAACAGAGGTGTGTACTTGCACCAAATCTCTTTTCTATTTTCTTGGCTGCCTTCCTTACTCGTGCCGGCGTCAATTTAGCCTGCGGGGTGGACATCAAGTACCGGATGAGGGTCTTTTTGACATAAGACGACTCCCACTCGAAGCGATGAGTTTCTTTTGTAAGGAGACACCGTCCATTTCCTATAAGATTACCTGAAGGGCCATCATGATATGTAAGAATGTATGTAAATTTGAATTTACAATGTAATGTGTATGGTGTAGCTACAAGGTGTATGTACCTGTTTCTCAACATAAACCGACTCCAGGCAAGAACAAAGGTGTCATCAGCTTCCATTACTAAGCTTCAGTATGCAGACGACCTCACCCTTGTTGCTCACACTGAACGCGACCTACAGGAGTTTCTGAATACCTACGCAGATGCATATGCACACTTCGGCCTTGAGGTGAATGTACGTAAGACTCAGATTTATCTTTCAGCCTGTCCCTGGTTCAGCCACACCTTCACTATCCACCCAGCTTAACGGTACTACCCTCTCTAATATTACCCACTTTCGGTATCTCGGCTCCTACCTGTCCACCACCGCAGACATCGACAAAGAGATTCAGCATCGGATCAGATGTGCATCTCAAGCCTTTGGCAGAATCCGATACCGTCTCTTCAGCTGTAGGGAGCTGAAATTATCTACAGAGTTGAGTTACACGTATATCGAACAGTGGTCCTCCCCACCGTGCTATATGACAGCGAGACATGGGTCACATACAGGAAGCACATCAAGGCACTTGAAATTTTTCTCCAACGTAGTCTACGTTTCATCCTCTGAGTTCACTGGGAATACAAGAGAATGCCAGTATTCTTGCTGACACCAACTGCAGAAGCATCGAGGCTACCATTATTCATGAACAACTACGCTGGACTGGCCATGTTACCCGCATGGACGACAGTAGACTGTCAACGCAGCTACTTTACAGTCACCTAACGAATAGTAAACGTAACGCTGGCAGGCAACTGAAAAGGTATAAGGATAGTCTTAAGACAAAGCTGAAACGTGCCAAATCGACCCCTTCACCTGGTAGTCGACTATTCCACACCGTAATGCTTGGAGGATCACCACACAAAAAAATGTCAATACTTTCGAGTTAGCTCGACGGCATAACAAGACAGACAAGCGCCAACGCCGGAAAGATGCTGCCGCCTCCCTTCCCGCAGTAGATGTAGCCCCCATATGTGCAACATCTGTGATCGACTCTTCCGGTCCCGTATCGGCCTCTTTAGTCACCTCAGAAATCACCAACCTAGGTGACATCCTTAATAACTCATATCATTGTATCATAGCTGGATGATCGTCATACTCGATTCCGAGTGACAGCAAAGTAGTAATAGTAGTATTGTCTGGGACTTCATTTCTCTTGTTATTATTATTTTCAGATCTAATTTGGTGTTTAGAGGAAGGTTATTAGTTTTATCTGAGGTTAGGGGAGTGAGAGAGACAGTCCCCCGAGGTGCATACAGTCATTTCAGTCTAATAAACTGTAAGGCTCTACTTCCCTGACTCACATTGTGTACCTGATATGTACCAAGCAATGTCTCTCCATGATGTCTCTCTTCCAAGCAATGTCTCTCCCCAGGTCAATGTTTCTCCCAGGCAGTATCTCTCTCAGCCGGTGTCTCTCCCAGGCAGCGAGACCCACACTGTCGCTATTATTCAGTCGCCATAACTTCGATTTAAAAAACTTGTGTGAAGTTTATACAGTGTGAGTTACTACAGTTGTTGGCGTATTCATCATAACAGCGACACTCCCTCTCCTGTTGATATAAGGGACATGTGTTTACCGCTGAATCTGTCTGTGTGTATTTGTGATTTAAAACAGTTTATTTAGGCACGCTGTGAATCCTATTTTGCTTAGAGTACTCACTCATGCACTTTCAAACACATGCAGACACACATCCATCGTGCACGCAACTTGCTCACACAAATCCATCCATCTATCCATCCATCGTACACGCAACTAGCTCACACACATGCATCCATCCATCGTGCAAGCAAATAGCTCACTTACATACATGCATCCATCCATCCATCCATCAATCATGTTCGCTCACATACATGTATATATCCATCCATCGTGCACGCAACTAGCTCACAAACATGCATCCATCCATCCATCGTGCACCCAACTTACTCATTCACAGATGTTATTTTTTTCGCCGTGATTTGAATGTGACGCTTCGAGATAGCACTTCCATCACCCCCAAATGGCCACTAAATCTAAACTAGCCATTTATCTAGACGAAATGGGCCAAGTTGAACATTTACAGAGAGACATCAGTCATTACCTGGCCGTATGGAAAAAAGTTTAAACCGTATAAGAACTTTAGACATGAAAATTTAATTAAATTGGTAATGAAAGTTTTAATTAAGTGAGGTGATGGGAATTAAACCTTAGAAGGAATTAGAAAAGAACTTAGTCTAACCTAACCTAATGTTACGAGTGTCGGAATAAGAACTAATGAATAGATTACTGGTCGGCACATGAGCTTGGAATGATTCGTTGTGTGGACACTGAAGCATAAAAAGTAATGCATTGATTTATTTGAGGTAGTTTGATAGCAGTTAAAATTTAGATATTATATGTTATACTTGAATATAGTAACATTAGTTTCGATGTGTTTAGTGAAACAAAGTAATGTTTATTGTATTAGTCTCGAACACTAATGAATGAGTGAGTGTTTGTTAGTTATTTACGGATTCGCAACTTGAACGTCTTTTGTCTATGACATCATTTCCGCCCACCTCTGGTCGCTTAGTTTTACCTCTCAGAGTCGGGTGACAGTACTACTGATTTTAGTATTGGGCTGGCAGTCTTAAGATTAGTATCTCCTCTCCTATTGTATATTTCTTGTGGTATAACGTGTAAACCTTGCTCGACTTTTAACAACACCAAGTATTATATAGTGATTTATATGTAAGATTGTGGATAGTCATATTTCAGAATTCCACGGTAAAATAACTTACCTGTATATGAGTTAGGTGTGTTGGATAACCTCGTTGTCCACGGTAGTTTAAGTGTTGAGTCATTACTTTTATCATTATTATTTTGTCACTCGGTTGAGTCACTTGTTTGATCAGGTTTAGTTTGTCTTTGTTTTATTTTTGTACATAACTGATATATTTATTTTTTGTTTGTTAATATATGTAATTAAATTTACTTCATGAGTTTCAATACACCCCATAGTAATGAGGTGATCATTTTGGTGGGCTCTATATCTTGGACCTTCGATGCAAAGAAAACCATTATGCTAGACTTAACTCAACTTTAAGAATAAAACAAAGTTGAATTTCAATTGCCTTGTTACAACCTAAGAGGCCAAGGTCGTAACACTAACCTAACCTATATATGGGATCAAATTACTCAATATATCTTGATATATATGAACTAAAATCATAGCTGTAGTGAAATAATAAACCTTTGCTATCACAAAACACTAAAGCTAAATATTTATATATAGCTGTGGATTTATTTATTAACTTTATTTTCCTTATTTAATATTCTTTCCTATTCCTATGGGGTTTTTTTCACACTTTTATTTACCTCTGTGGTTAGCTGTACAATAGTTAGAGGAACGTAAATGTCCCCAATGAATTTCAGGTTAAGGTGAACTCTTATTGTTTTACCTGGTAGAGTACAGTATAATTATTCTTACCTGACCTTCTTGAAATGGCTAGAGGTCTTTGTTTTACCAGTGGAACTTATTTTATTCTATGGTTTATCTATACAATTAATATTTTTTTAGTTCTTCTTATGTTAGGATTTTGGTCTCTCTCTCTCTCTCTCTCTCTCTCTCTCTCTCTCTCTCCACTCAACGATGTAAATCTTCAGGAAAAATAAGAACTCTTGTGAATTAATACATTTTTTGTTGAAGGTCGGGGAGACTTCCTGCACTTACCTGTAAATGAGATCCCTAATTATATTTAGTTGAATTTCACTCGTAACTTAGGTGTGTGTGTGTGTGTGTGTGTGTGTGTGTGTAAAGATAAAAGAAACCAGAAATTAGTCTGACTAGCAATAATAATAATAATAATAATAATAATAATAATAATAATAATAATAATAATAATAATAATAATAATAATTCTCAGGTAACGTAACTATTACCAAAATAGCGAAAAGCTCTTTGCAGCGTGATGAGTATAATAATTAATTCAAGTAAAATTTTCCATAAAGGGCCACACCTAATTACATATAATTGCCACACGCCGCCAGCCGGAACATACAGCACAAAAAGTTATATAATCCCATAACATAAAAATATTTACCAGATGCTGCAGTAAAGGTTAATGTCCGGAAAGTTAATCTAACGTGAAATGGACAATTGTTCTTAGTGTGTCTCTCGTGTTCATAACTGTACTGACACACTGTTCAGCGTTTGAGGTTTTTGCTTTTGACGTTTGTTGAATTTATTTTAACATTTTAACGTTTAAGAAAGTGGTTTATTTTATGTAGTTCTTGGTTTACTTATATACATTCTATCTTTAATTTACGTTCGATAATTATTTGTTTAATAATTTCTTACTTTTTATGATAGAGGGTGCCACTATATACATTACAGCAGGGGTTCTTAACCTGGGGTCCATGGATGGGCTTCAGGGGGTCCGTGAAGGTCAGATAAAAATTTAACATTTATATTCACTATACTTTGTGTATGTCATACACTGTATGAGGCAATGAATTTTCAATAAAATAGAGTATATTCATTGCATGCAAAGTTGTGTTTATGTGCTTATGTGCATTTTTCTAGGGAGGGGGTCCATAGCTTTCACCAGATTCTCAAAGGGGTCCGTGACTCAAAAAAGGTCAAGAACCACTGCATTACAGGAAGGTTTATACGGAAATGTATTATATCGTTTTTTTATCTAATATTATTTTTATATAATTACATAATTGTGGCAAGTAATTAAACATAAAATTAATATTTTGAATGTGTTTTATATAGAGTTGTGCACTTAAAACTTTATTAAAAGTGAGGATGTTAAGGCTTTGTGAGATGAAAACTCTTAATACTTTCGTAATTATGAAAGTTTATTTAATAGAAAATGTGGTACAACAGCGACCATACTACTACCTGTTATTACCTGTTTTATTCCATGTTACCTGTTAATGTATATATATATATATATATATATATATATATATATATATATATATATATATATATATATATATATATATATATATATATATATATATATATATATATATATATATATATGCAGTTCAGAGATATTTCCAGCGTCGATAATATATTAGAGATGATCTTATTTGAAACTTTTAATATACGGGCATGAAACTTTGAAATTGTATCGAGGAATTTCTCAAGGTTGTAGAGTCATTAAGGAGAGAGAAAAGGCTGTGTGAAGCGACTTTATTATGACCGTCTTACATCAATCTATTTACCTTAACGTCTTATGAGGAACTTTCTGAAGACTCTTCAAGTATTTCTAAGTCATTCATACTTCACTGTAGAAAAGTAATTGTATATTTTCTCCTTTAGAAAGTCAGTTAATTTTGTTTTTCTTCAGTCACATGTTTTTTCCGACAGACTGGAGTCGTTTATGTAAGTGTTGTTGTAACTAAGAACTCTACTTATGTTGTTTATATTTATACATTATGTTAACAGTAATATAAAGAAGGAAATTTTGATAGTTTGTTGAATATTTATCGTTGAGTTTTAGTTCATTTAACATCCCAGAATCTATACACCAAATATCATCACTCACTCCCTGACTATTTCACTCACGGCCTGCCAGTCACACAGACTTGATTGAATAAAAATTTGATTAGTTTTTGTTACTAAAATATATAACTAGGGGGAAATTCTCCATTACATATCCCATGTGAATTAAATTTTGTTAACATAGAATATGAAGGTACGTCTTGTGGGTTAGTTCAGAGGGAGTTAAGTCTTTGTAAGGTCAATTAATTGGAAGTGAACCTTTATCAATTATCTCTCACGGGGATAAATTTTTGTTAGTTATGTAGATATTATTATTTTGTGAGTTAATTTCCGCGGAGATAATATAAACAACAGGTGGGAAATATTTCACACCTAAATCAACCGAGACAAATGTATATACGAAGATAAATAAATAGGTGTTTATGCTCTTTTTCACTCCCTCAATTTATCTGTTTCTTTTCATTTTTCCTCCTTCTCTCCTCTAGATATTTCCCTTATCTGCATACCTTTTCTCTCCTTTTCATCCATCTTTATTTATATCCTAAGTCAATTTTCCACTGTTTTTTATCTCTCGTTTCTATATTTTTCCTGTTGTTGCCTGTCTCACTTCATCGACCTTGAACGGAAACAGCTGAGCTTATAACTATAGACGGAGACTAGTACACGTGAAGGTATTATACAGGAGACAGGTGACAGGGCTAAGACAGAGAGACAAAACATTCATCAGACTGTAAAAAGGAAGAGAAATGTTACTGTTTTTTGTTTTTTTTTGGTGTAGAAGTGAATGAAGATGTCTAGGGAGGCTCAGCAGGTGACAGTCCATTAGCCTACCTAGGGGGGGGGTGGGGGTGGGGTGGAGGGAGAGGAACAAGATTTAATCCTTAGTCTTGTAGGAAATTGATTGGTTAGATTTCCCTTTGGTTAAGGTTTTTTGGTTTTGTTTTGTTTTTTTCTAATGAGGTAAATACATAATTAAATTAAAACTAAATATTCATGGACTTTCTGACTGTATTTATATTTATGTAAATTCCATGTAAGTTAATTGCTGCTTTCGAGGCCCACAATATTGATATCATGTGAGGTTGTTAGGTTAGGTTAGGTTAGGTTAGGATAGGATAGGTTAGGTTTGGTTAGGTTAGATTAGGTTAAGTTAGCAATACAGGGAGGAGAAGAATTCTATCTTATATAATATGACTGTGATGACGTTGAGATAATTCTAAACACAAAACTGCCACCGACACAGATTCTTAAAATCATCCACTCCACAAAAAAAAATAATCAGGTGAAATTTCTCCATCTCGTTTAATTAACCACCAATGTTATTTTATCCTCTTTTATTCCACTCTCTTTTCTCTTTCTTTTCTTCCTCTTTCTCTCTCACCGTGACAAAAACACCATTAACAAAACGAGCAGCTGTCAGGAGCAGTGATTACCTGACGGCGGCTGTGTTGACCTCGTGTACGTCCCAGAGCCAAATGTGACAGCGAATATCAGCATCATTACCGACCTCAGCCTCAGCGTCAGACAGGAGAGTCAATATCAGTGTCAGTCTCAGTGTCATACAGGAGAGTTAATTTCAGTGTCAGTCAGTATCAGTTTCAGTGTCAGACAAGATAGCCAGTATCAACATCAGTGTCAACGACGTCATTTAAGACACAAACTTGTACAGGTGCAAATGATTACCTGTTCACCTGGACGCTTATCACTGGATTTAAGACAATTGTCATTCATGTTTTGCAGACTTAGCAGAGAAGGTTTTCAGAGGTGTGCTAGTTCATGTGTCTCTCTTGCAGACACACACACACACGAATATGTTACGGAGACGAGCTTATGAATCAAGTTTAACCTATGTTGAAAATTTATATTAAAGAGAGATTTTATCAGCTCCTACAATATTAAAATTGTTTAATAAAAGTATGTATATGAACGTAAGCTAAATATTTATATTACGTTCACAACCCAACGATATTAATATTAAACTGTACACGTATATAAAATAATTAGATAGAAAATATATAATAAAAATAACTTAATATGATGTTTTACGAATGATACAAATTTTATTTATTCACTTATATATAAAATATCGTTGATTTCATAGATTTAATTTTTTATGATGACCTAACCTAACCTAACCTAACCACTAACTCCTTCTGAGACGTTGTATGTTATGTTTTTCTTTAGTTAAGTTGTCACAGTCAGCCATCTTAGTGCTTCATGATGTCACTTCAAAGGAGAAAAGCGTATCGTCAATTTGGTCACGTTAGAGCCATTCCAGGTAGGCATTTGGACACTCTCTAAGCTCCTCCCCTTTGACCTGGAGTGGCGTGATGACCTCATTGGATCAAGTTAATGAAAGGAAACGACCAATCAGGAGTCTTACCTTGTGCGTTGACCTCTATCATTTCCCTCAGAGAATATATATTTATTTTAACTTGTATCTTTATTAAGTAAGACATTTCTAGGTTTGGAGTTAAGAGTTCCTTATCTAAACATACACAGGGAATACTTTTATATCAATATCTATAACCTGTTTAAAATACAAGACAGTTTTAGTCTACACAGCTGATAGCAAATTTATTTCAATCAAATGAAAGGACAGCGTATTTATTATTTCTCACTCTTGATTTCCTTTGTTTTTTTGTTTTTTTTTTCATTTCTGTATTTTTAGTGTTAATTATGATGCAGTTTGTTTCGTTTTGTGCTTATTTTTCGTCCCCCAACAAATTTAAGTAGCTTTGGTGAGTCAATTCTTAACTTCAACTCGTAAAGATGTGTTCACTTGCATCCTCTGTCTCACTTGACAAGATTAAACTTAACGAAAGAATCAGTTCATTTTTTCCTCTCTCTCTTTCTGGCATATTACCCGATAACATTGACCGTGATCAGAAAATCTAATTTGCAAAAAAAAAAAATAAGTTCGGGATGCAAAATGTTGGAACACTGGCGACGGAACGCAAAACGAGAGGAAATCAGGTCGTAAAATTCGTGCAGGAACAAGGAATACTTTATGAAATATTAGTTAAGGACGGGGTAATGTGACTTGTCTTTCTGTTTAAATTTTCATTCGTGAAATAAATACAAATATGATATTATATTGAAACTTATAACAATATCAAACGAGCAACTTTTATTACCACTTGACTGTTAAAATAATTGATTTTATAGACATATTAATTTAATTAAGTAAAGAAAGTTTACAATTTGTGACTCTTACTTTTTCTCGCTACCTGTAAACACCAAAATGCGTGCTGACGTCATCGACCAAAACAAAGACATTTTTTTCCAAGTAATGCCTAGAGGGGAGATAAAACCTGGTGAAATAAACTCATAGAAAATGTCAGGAAAAAAATAACAACTCCCCCTTGTATTGCCTCCCCTATCAGTGACCTAATTTCATATGTCCTATTTTTTTTTACTGTTGGAAATGGCAGAGTTATGTTAGTTAAGTTCATGGTTGGGTTAGGTTAGGTTAGATTGGCTTGGGTTGGGTTGGGTTGGGTTAATATTAATTCTTCTCTTTCTTCCTCCTCTTTGTCTCTCTCAGCCTGTCCCAATTATCTCTATCTCTTATTATTCATCTTTCCCTCTTCCTCAATCTTTCTTAATCCTCCCCTCTTTCACCACCCATTCCCCCCTTCCCATCCCTCCTCCACCCACCCTAACCCCACATTCCACCACCATAATAAAAATAACTACGAGACTAACAAAGTTGACCAGAGTTTGAGGTGTAACTTTTACCTGAACATGGAAAACTGTCCTAGCTCACAACACCAACACAGAGATGAAAGAAAAATATAGGGAGAGAGAGAGAGAGAGGGGGGGGGGAGTGTGTGTGTGTGTGTGTGTGTGTGTGTGTGTGTGTGTGTCGATGGAAGTCTTAGAGGAGATAAGAGGCATCAAGTGACCACATGCTTCTCACATGTCATCACACTAGCCTTAGGAGTAAGATAATATAAATTACAACAACACTATTCTTACACCAAACCTTATTTACTGTACTGTCCCCCCACCAAAATATAGATAGAAAGTATAAAAGTATAGGAATTATTTTCTTTTATCGTGTATTTTTATAGTTTAATCCATTTTAATTAAGTGAGATATTAAAGATAAGATTTAGATGATTTACGTTATATTAGTTTATTCAATACACCAAAATATCATAGTTACTCTCCTCATTCGTTTCCCTTATGACAAATGATCAAATACCTTCATAAAATACCCAAGTCAACTCACTATATCACATTTTCCCATCAACACTACTATCCACCACACCAATTTATACCCCTGTGTTTCTGACTGTATGACCCATAGTTAAATCATTCTCTAGTCCACTGTTGATGATTGTGTGTAATTCAATGCCAGTTACGTGAGACCCCAAGCCAATCCACACACAACTATTATCGTAGTTTACCGCTGTTTGTTATCGTTACCACGTAAAGTCATCAGTGCGTTATTGGGGCTTTTTTTTTTTTGATTCGTTGGTTTGTGAAAAATTGTAAAGTTTGGTGATGTTTAGTCATGTTTTGGTGGTGTTGGTTTATAGGGAGGTGCATAGACACACAGACAGATAGAACGAGAGAGAGAGAGAGAGAGAGAGAGAGAGAGAGAGAGAGAGAGAGAGAGAGAGAGGCAGAAAACTATGAATTTATGAAGATACGACATGAAGCCTGCATGGTCTCACAAATGGACTACAAAGGTAAATAAAATAAACATAAAAGATAAGAAAAACACATCCAGTGGCATAAAATGTTTCACCCAAGGGTATAAACAACGCGGAAAAACTCACTATTTCTTTACCATACTAAAAACTTTACTTGAATGTCAACAAAGAGAAGATTAGTGAGTGTGTCAGAGGCTTTTGTTTGTTTATTTATGAAGCGGTGACCGGGGCGACGTTGACAGGTTATAAACATGGTTGTGATCCTCCAGACACTGATCCCTGTGCCTAGTTCTTCATCATGGCGGACAGGTGTGTTAAATAATCTACAGGTTAATTTAGTTTACCTGTATCCCGGACACGATGTGGTACCTGGAGAGTTATATCAACGGAGGGTTATTATAACATGGGCTTAGTGACTGGAGTGTTGTCGTAACTTTAAGGTCTTTGGTTCGATTCCACCCCCCCCCCCAGGAGAAAATATTAATTAGCTACCTGAGCTGTTTTACTTATAGGTATGACCCATCAACTTGTTAACCTAAATTATACTTTAAATATCTATAACATTTCAGGAGGTGGAGTTATCACTTTGTAGTTTTTTATCTGTTAAAATGATACAATATGTCAAGGGTATGTTAAGATGTCCGTCTGTGAGTCAAGTCAGAGTCACAGAAGACGACCTCACGATCCCTGACATATATATAAGACTTACTTTTTACTCTGATATCCTACGGCATTTCTGTATTCATATGAGATATTTTTTCTTCTATAATTTCATCTCTATTGTTATATATTTAAGGAATGGAAGTATTACAAGAATATTTCCTGGTATTAAGGATATTTGTGAATACTTCAGCTCATTAAAAACTATTAAATCTACCCTATTGACAATATTAATTAGTGGAAAACAAATTTTATCTGTTGACGTTCAGGGCTAATTATCTTGGTCAGGTGTGTTGAAATATATATTTTTTTTACTTCATCAGAATTATAATTAGATGAATAAATATACAGCTACACAGCAGTCGTACACACACACACACACACACGCCAACAAACTTCTGAAAATCCAAACGCTCCACGACCCCAATTGACCTCCCAATCAAAATATACAAGGAGTTTGCAGTCGAACTTGCATCCCTCAGACAAAGCAAATGCCCTAATGAATGGAAAACCGCATTTGTCACCCCCATCCCCAAGGTCACCACCCCACAGTCCCCTAACGACCTCAGGCCAGTTGCCATTACCCCCATACCCAATCTACTCTGTGAGGACTTTGTTTTTGAGTGGGCATTTGCCAAAATCTATCAGTCAATTGATCCACAGCAATTTGGCAATATGAGGACCTCCTCTACATCACACTGCTTAGTGAGCTTTCTGGATTTTCTGCAAAAAAACCTGCAGAAACGTAAGACATCACTGGCCGTTGCCCTTGTTGACTTCAGGAAGGCTTTTGACCTTGTTGACCACTGCACTGTTATCAACAAGGCCATTGCACTAGGGCTGCCCACCAACCTGGTCTCATGACTCACTGATTTCTTGAGTGGACGTCGCCAGGCAGTGAGGTATCAGGGTTCGGTCTCCACATTCCAACACCTCACCTGCGGTGTTCCCCAGGGGACCAAGATGGGACCACTGTGCTTCCTCATCCTGATCAACGATGCTCTATCGGACACTCCTCACAGGTGGAATTACGTGGATGACTGCACTGTGGGGGTTTCAGTGGACAACACCGAACCAGACTACTCATGGCTACAAGGCACCCTGGACAGGCTACAGGCATGGACTACGGAGAACAAGGTCACCATCAACCACACCAAAACCGTACTCATGCACATCA